ACTCTTCTCTTTGAAAAGTAAAATTATTTCATTGTTTTACAATCCCTCCCCCCAAGTCCACTCCACTATGGAGCCTTCGTTCTGGACTCCTGTCATGACAATAATACCTAATCACATATCCTTTTTAAACAGTTTTCTCCCTCATCTATTTCAATGCCATATACATTATTTATCCCATCTTTCTCAGTCTCTCCCCAACCCTGAAGTCAGTCCTGTTTTACAACAGTGGCACCATGCAGTATTGGTCCTTTTGTGACTAAGATATTTCACTCAGCATAATGTTCTCCAGACTCAACCATTTTGAATAATATCGCATGAGTTCCCTGTTTTTCAATGCAGCATAGTATTCCATTGTGTGAATATACCACAGCTTCTCTATCCATTTGTTTGTTGATGGGCACTTGGGCTGTTTCCAACTCTTTGCTATTGTGAAAGCTGAGATAACATGAGTGTGCATATATCTGCTTGGGTGGCAGTTCTCTTTTGGGTATATAAAAAAGGGAATAAAAAAAAATCCTCATTGGACTGAGAAACAACATCAATGAAGATAGAGAAAAGATATAAATTGTCAATGTCTTCTTCTTACTTGAAACCACAATCAACAGGAGATGACAAGATGTATTGCATTGGGCACGTCTGCTGTCAGGGATGTCTTCAAGTTAATGCGAAGCAGTGATGTCAATTTGAAGACTAAGGTGCATCTGACTCAGGTCATGGTCTTTCAATCACTGACTATACATCGAGGAGTTGGAGAATAAATAAGGATGGTTTTGGAGTAGCTCACTTGATATCCCATGGAATCCAAAAGAACAAATAGAAACATGTTGGAGAATGTATAGTCACAGTACTCCCTGGAGGCAAGGATGAGAAAGCTACGTCTCTCATACTTTGGGAAAGTTGATAGTAGAGGCTATTCCTTGGAAAGGGACATCATGCTTGGAATAGTGTAGGGTCAGTCAAAGAGAAGACTCAATGAGATGGATTGATAGATACTGTGACTGAAGCAATGTGTTTAAATGTGTCAGAGATGATGAAGGCGGCACAGATTGGACCGGGTTCAGATCAGGGTTGTCCATAGGGTTGTTATGAGTCATATTCGACTCGATGGCACCTAACAACTCTAACAACAACTA